AGTGTAAAGGACCTACAATTGAATGCCATAAACGTGCCAGATGGAACTGTGGCTGATTTTTATTCAAACAAGGCGCCACTTGGAAATTTAACCCTCCCCACTTCTCTCACATGGGTGGAGTGTGGGAACGGATGATTGGGGTAGCGAGACGCATATTGGATGCTATGTTACTGGATCATAAACACAGAAATTTAACACATGAAGTTTTATCTACTCTTATGTACGAAGTTTCAGCAATTGTTAATGCCAGACCTATCATGGTACTTTCGTCAGACCCAGAGTCTTCATCCGTTTTAAGTCCATCAGTTTTATTAACCCAAAAGTCGGTGAATTCAGATTTTGGAACTTGTAACTTTGATATCAAGGACTCTTATAAATCTCAGTGGAAATTTGTGCAAGTTCTTTCCAATACGTTTTGGTCGAAGTGGAGAAAAGAGTACTTGCAAACATTACAAAACAGACAAAAATGGCACCAAGAAAACCGAATTATGTCAAAAGATGACATCGTGTTGTTAAAAGACAATGCAGTACATCGTAATGAATGGCCTTTAGGTATCGTTACAAACGTTTTCCCAAGTGACGATAACCTTATTCGTAAAGTCGAAGTTCGTACTGAGAAGAATGGTAAACGTGTGTCGTATATCCGTCCTATTACGGAACTTTTTGTCTTGTTAGAAGGTGATATTAACAACTAATGTTGATTCTGTTATTTTGAAATGTCTTGTAACTTGTCTTATAGTACTATTGTTAAAATTCAGACGGGGAGTGTGATGGAACAATACGATTACTGTTGTCTTGATTTAAATAAAGTTGCGTCCCTTTAGAAAACTCTCCAATTTATGGAAGTACATTAATGTAAACACCGCCATTTTATCCTTTATTTCATATTCTTAGACATTTCAGAAAGTGTTGCCTCTCACAGGGTAATTTCAGTTTATGTTATTGTAGATTTGTTTAATTAGCAAAGTGTCTAAAATTTGATTATTTCATTTGTGTTCAGTTTAAAACATGTCATCATGTGAACTTCGTTTGGTGTAACCATTAATTTGTAAGCGAGGCCTATTATATTGACAAAATGAGAAGAATCATAAGATCTGTACTTGTATTTATCAGTTGTATTTTGTATTTTTAGTTTTTCACTCTCTTCCGAGAGACTACTGTATATGGTCGTGTTGAGAGATATCAATAAAGCTTAAAACAGTACATTCGATAAAGGGAGAAGCAAGTCAAGTTGCAGTTCGTTTAGGTTTTTCAGAATTGTTTAAAGATGTTTTTGATAGGTTGGAAGCTCGGTTTGGAAAGTCAACATCTTCTCTGAGTTTTATGCTACAGAGATTCCAATTGATCTTTTAGACAGTGCCAGACAAGAGGATGAAATTAGTGAAAACGTAGGTGAAAATTTTGAACTGGTCTTCGCATCCATTTTAAAAATAGATCAGCTCACAATCAGGCACAGTCTACCCTAGCATTTCTTCTTATTCCGGCGACGGTATCTTTTCATCAAAATTTTCTGTAGGTAGAGATAAAGATAATTCTTGTTTGGAAAACAGACCACAATTTCTTCATTAAAGTTAAAGTTTACACTAGAGAAGATATATGGTCCACTGACATTATAATTTAAGGAGACATACAAAGATATAATAAAACCAATGATATAACAAAACTCATCTGTTACTTATTCTATTAATCATTCTTTTTTCTAGAAACTTCTGTAAGAAAGATAACTCTTGTTTGGAAAACAGACCACAATTTCTTCATTAAATTAACTCATTTAAAAATAGGATGAGTTTAATTTTAAAACACGAACAACACAATTTCGAAGATTATTCAGGCGACGGTATCTTTTCATCAAAATTTTCTCTGGGTAAAAATATAATTCCAAAAGTAGATAGCTTTGTTTCAAACAACAAATCCCGCATTTCCTCAGATGCTAAAGCCATAGGATCTGTCGCGGAAGCGGGAAGGAGTATAAGCGACGCAGTGAAACAATCTGACGAGTTGAAAGAATTACAACTAGAACTGCTAAACAGGAGATTAGAAGAAAGGAAAGGAAAAGGTTTTAAAGTTATAGGATAAAAATTATAGTTTTTGGAGCGTTAGCGACTTATTTAGGTTCAGATATACAAAAGTCATTGGGCTCTCTTCCTGATTTTCCATGGGCAAAATATCCTGAAGAAAAACATCTTCCCGGTCATAATAAAACAAAAACAAAACAGTATTATCAGTCAAACATGCTTTTGAAACGATCATGAAACGTAGAAAGCCCAAAAAAACCTGTGGGTAGGTAAAGGAAGCGAATTTTATAATAAAAATATGAAATCACTTGGGTTTGAAATTTATTGTACTCATAACGAGGGAAAAGCTGTAGTAGTAGAAAGACTTAACAGGACGCTTAAATCAAAACTGTGTAAATAATTCACAGAACTAAAGTCTCACAAATGGTTAAAGATTTTACCCACTGTTGTATCGGAATATAATAATAAAATTCATTCTTCCATCGGTGTTTCTCCAAAGGAAGCCAGTCAAAATCCAGATATTAAAAAGTTTTCTTCTGCCCTTAATAATTTTGAAAATGAAATAAATAATTTAAATATTAAACCGAAATTTAAAGTCGGAGATCGAGATCGTATTTCCAAATATAAAAGTAAATTCGAAAAAGGCTACGTCGGATTTTGGACCAACGAAATATTTATCGTAGATAAAGTAAACACCACATCACCTCCAACATATGAATTAATCGATCAAGACAAAGAACAAATCATAGGTAGGTTCTATCAAAACGAACTTCAAAAAACTGTCTTTTAAAATGAATATTTTTCTTGATAAATACGGAACCGATACAACTACAAACTTCAACTTATGAGATGGGCGAATCAGTTAAATATATCACAAATTTATTATTGTATGCGAGATGAAATAAATAATCTCAAGGATAAGAAAGGTACATTTGATGCCATAACAAATATACATACTTCAGTTCAAAACGGAGTTCAACATTCCACTTTATACAAAGACTCTTTAAATAACTTTTATTTCTTCGATTCTTTTGTGGTCAACTTTGGGTTTTATATCAATTAAGTTTAGGAAATCAGTTTGAAGAAATTATAATGAATTTAACTTAATAAAAATGGCGAATAAATTTGGTTTAGGTTCTTTACCTTTAGATACTAAAAAACCTCACACTACAACATGGATAAATAAAGCAAAACCTTATTTTGTGAAACAAATTGCAGACACACTTCAAGGTGATTTAGATATGAATAATTTTACCTTAACTAATTTAAAGTTACCAGAAAATAATTATGATGCTGTTCACAAGAAATATTTAATGTATCAATTGAATTTAATTGTAGTAAATAAAGACCATTTAAAAGAAAGAATAAATGATGTGAAAAGATTCTTCAAACGACAACTAAATAATAAAGATTTTATTGATGAAACTAAACTACAACAAGAAGTAACAACTTTTAAGAAGTTTTATTGAAGAAGAACTTCTAAATGTAGTAGATAAAACTCAATTACAAAGTTTAACTTCATTAATATCAAAATTAGATGATAAGATAGCAAAGCAAAAAATAGATCTTAAACAATTAATAGGTATAAGTGAAGATAAATCGCAGCAGGAATTAAGTCTATTTAAAACTAGAATAGAAAAAGAATTAATAATTTTTAAACAACAAACTTCCTGATACTCACCCCCTAAACATGCGATCAGCGTTTTAGTTTCCTTGGAAACCTAGTAATTGAAATTATTTTTCCTCTATAGTTAAAAGTTGATCCATTATTCTTTAAAGATTCTGGGGACGCAAATAAAACTCTTCAGTTTATTAATGGTAGAGAAAATGTAGAAACACAAGAATATAACCCCGACAACCGCTAGACGGCCTATCACCGATTTGAAATTAAAACGGAAAGAAAATATATAGATAGGTTTAGAATGATAGTTAAATTAAATAAAGGGGCCGCTGTTTTGGGTGATTTTCAAATGATATTAAAAACGGAAACTCCACCAGTAAGTATTATTAGAAATCCAAAACCACAAGAAGAAGTAACAAAGAGTTACGAGTTTTTACGAACGACAGACTTTGAATATGTAAAACTATATTTTATTAATACTACTTTTTTGATATTCATAAAAGTCAACAAGATAAAATATTTACAATTTTTCATCAATAATTGAAATTGAAAAAGTTGGTAGAGTATATACTCAAACATGTATGATAAAAATTCATATCAAAAAACCAAAATTTTCAGGGGGATCCTC